CCATTAATGAATGCATGGTTTCCTTTTTTGGTGGGGGGTGGCTTTTCTGAGTTATAGTTTTTCTTCTCATTGCTATTTACAAGGAAGTAAGCTAAAAAGACAAAAAGCTACTCTTGTGGGGCACTCAAGCCCACTTTTCATCAAAATATTAATACAATCTCTTGAGAAAGGAGGCTGGGTTATTACCTTCCAAGGCACAGATTAATAAAAAGCAATTCATGCACCCATGTCCTGTCCTTTCTCTTTTCTGAGGGGAGGTGGGCAGAAGTACATAAAGTCAAATTAATACCATAAAACCAAAACTCCATACCTGTCAGTTCTGCTTCAAGAAAACCACATACAATCAAGAGAAACCATATTTTCCACTTGTGTTTCCATCTTGGTTCCTTTGAAAACGTCAGATGTATTTTGCCTAGATAGTGTTTGCTCTTTCTTAAAGTTACTAAATGAGTAAACTTTAAAGTCCAGAAACCAATATGAAAACAGAAGGGCAATGACCAGAACTGAAGTCAATACCTAGAAGCCCCTTTTAAAATAGCTCTTCAAACAATTCTCTTAAGCAAAGAAGAAAATAAGGCCAACCTACCCTTTACCTTATAGTGCTTTAATGCTCACTTTCTCTTTTGGAAAAGGCCATTTTGATAGTCTTTATAGACACTGCACAATTAGATCAAAGTTGGGCCAGCCAACTTGCCCCAACTCCATCTTTCCAGATGTCCCATTGTTCACCCAGACAACTCCCTTGTCCCTGAAGCTGTGGAGCCATCAGACAATTCCCCCCATTTCCCTCCCACACTATTAATTAGTGACATCTTTCCTCCTTTCTAAAAATGTTGACTAGTTTAATGTTTGTTAGTTAAATTGATGTGATTGCCCAGAACATCACATGGCTTAATCCTATTTCCCAGAGGGACATCTCTGATGGGCTGATGTCCAAGAGTGGACTAGTTCTTCTGACAGTTAAATGGGTTTTCTCTAATTAAGATGCAGAGTTGGAATTCACAGTGGCACCTTTACTTTGTATGGTGAAGGAGGAACACTTCCTAGCATAACCAGGAAAGACCGGGAAGGGGACTTTCTCCTTATGGGCTGAAGTAGCTCTCTTGAAGATGGGCTTCGTGCTTTGTAACCCTCTGGCTATAACCCAACAGCTCTGGGAATGCTTTCAGCAGCAGACACAGTAGCAACATTGCTCTGCAGATTGACAATTCGAGCAATACAGAGTTTGTGTAGTCACGGGACCCACTGCTCACACAGCAGGGGGCTGATGGCTCATGAAGCAATCCAAAATGAACAGAAACACTCATTTTTCAGAATGGGACAGGCCTGTGGTGCTCCGAGGAGGGAGCAGAAAAATTGCAGAAAATTTGGGGAAGTGCAAGAAGGCACAATTAGAAATGACCAAAAGGCTGGAATAACTCACCTATGAGGAAAGGTTACAACATCTGGGATTGCTTGGCTTATAACAAAGCAAGCAAGGGGTGACTGCTAGAGGTGTAGAAAATTATGCATGGTGCGGAGAAAGTGGAGATGGAGAGATTTTCCTTCCAAACTCTTAACATTAGAACCTAGGGGAGCCCTATGAGGCTGATTGGTGGGAGATGCAGGACAGATAAAAAGAAGATACAAGGACTGGAAATGATGCGTTTGGTCACAGCATGAAGGAATTTATCAGGAGGTCTTTAAACTGAATCCTACAGGGAAGGGAAAAGTACACCTGGGTGTAACAACAGACAAAGGCTTATGTACCTCAAGAGAGAGAGTGCCCGATAACAGTGTTCCCGAATGATGTGGAAGGAAAGCTAAAATACAAAGCACATAGTTTTCAATGTCTATATACTAATGCCCAGAATATGGGAAACAAACCACATGAACGTGAACTCTTAATATAAGAGTGGGGTTATGACTTGATCAGTATTACTGTAGCTTAATGGGATGACTCCCATGACTGGAATTTGACAACCTGTTCAAGAACAGAAGGAACAGAAAGGGAAGTGGAGTCACACCATCTGTTAAAGATACATAACTCTGCACAGAAATTCAGGAAGATGTCCCCAGCAGCTCCATCGAGAGCATCTGGATTAATATAAATGGGGCAAGGAATAAAAGGAGCACAGTGGGTTGGAGTCTATTACTGACCACCCAATCAAGGAGACAAGGAGGATGAAACTTTTGAAAAGCAATTGCCAGTGTTCCAAGCAGGTAAGATGTCATTGTTATGGGGGATTTCAGTTTCCCTCATACCCACTGGGAGACAAACTCTGCTAAACACACCTCCTCCAAGAGATTCCTAACATGTATTGCTGATAATTTCCTCAACAGAAAGTGGCAGCAGAAAAAGAGAAATGGCTGTCCTTGATTTGATACCAACCAAGAGGGAAGACCTAGTGGACAAATTGGCAGCTACAGGAACTCCGGGGGAAATTGCCCATGCTGCACTTGAATTCTTGATTCTAAAGGAAGCAAAAGCCAAATGCAGCCAAACATGTACCCTGGATTTTAGGAAAGCCTATATTAATAAACTCAAAATAATGATGAGTAATGTCCCATGGCAAGGGAGTCTAATGAGAAAAGGAATCCAAGATGGGTGGGAATTTTTTAAAAAGGAAATTTTAGAGGTAAAATTACAAACAATTCCAACAAGGAGAAAGGGTAAAAGGCTACAGAAGAAGCCCATGTGGCTTCACAAAAACTTAGAGATGATCTGAAAACGAAAAAGGACATGTATAGGAAGGGGAAGGAAGGCCAGGCTACAAAGGAGGAATACAGGCAGGTAGCACGGAATTGCAGGGATGACTCCAGGAAGGCTAAAGCTAGGAATGGTCCCAAAAGAAAAGATCTGTGACCTTGCTGATGAAGGGAAAGTACATGCTGAAGGGGCAAGATGGAAGCTCAAGGATCATCTAGTTGGGCTGAGTTCAATTCTCCAGGACCTGATGAACTCCACCCTCAAAGGAGTGGAAGGAGTTGGTGGAAGAATTCTCTGAACCACTGTCTAATGTCTTTGAGAGTTCATGGAAGGCAGGGGAAGTTCCAGGTGACTGGAGAATGGCTAATATTGTCCCTGTTTTCAAGAAAGGGAAAAAAGAAGAACCTGGGAACTATAGACCAGCCAGTCTGACATGAGTCCCTGGGAAAATTCGGGAGAAGATTATAAAGCAGTCAGTCTGCAAACACCTTGAAAACTGAGGGAATGCCGTGATTACTAGAAGCCACCATGGATTTCTCAAGAACAAGTCCTGCCAGACCAATCTGATTTCATTTTTTGATTGGGAAACCTCCCTGAGGGACTGTGGGAATGCTGTGGGCATAACCTATGTTGACTTCAGGGAAGCTTTTGACAAAGTGCCCCAGGATCTCCTGATTAGCACACTAGCTAAAAATGGGCTAAATGGAACAACAATCTGGTGGATCCACAGTTGGCCACAGGAGCAGACTCAAAGAGTACTCATCAATGACACTGCCTCAAACTGGGGAGAGGTAACAATTGGGGTACTGCAGGGTTCAGTCCTGGGCCCAGTGCTCTTCAACAGGAAGTACAGAGATTAATATCAAATCTCCAGATGACATAAAACTCTGTGGGATAGCTAATACCCTGGAAGACAGAGAGAAGATTAAAGGTGCTCTTGATAGGTTAAGAGTGTTGGGATTAAAACAACAGAGTGAAATTCAGTAGGGACAAAAGTCAAGTCCTGCACCTAGGGGGGAAATAAGCCCAAATGCACCATTTGTTGCAAGATGGGGAACACTTAGCTTAACAATCCTGCAAGTGAAAATGATCTTGGAATTGTAGATCACAAGCTGAATGTGAGTCAACAATGTGATGTGATTGCAAAAAGGGCAAATGAGACTTTAGGCTGCATTACTAGAAGTATCACTTGGAGTACTAGTTCCCCTTTATGCAGCACTGATTAGGCCCCACCTGGAGAAGTGTGTTCAGTTCTAGACACCACAGGTTAAGAGAGATGCAGACAAGCTGGGAGAGTGCACAACATAGAATAATAGGCTCAAGTTACAGGAAGCTAGTTTCCAGCTGAATATCACGAAACATTTCTTCACTGTCAGAGCAGTACAACAATGCAACCAATCTCGTAGGGAGGTTGTGGCTTCTCCCACACTAGAGGCATTCAAGATGCAGCTGGCCAGCCATCTGGGAGGGATGGCTTAACTTGGTGTCCTGCACTGAGCAGGAGGTTGAAGCCACTGGCTCTCTGGGCCCCCTCCTCTCCACTATTCTGTGATTCTGCGATAAGCATATCTTCACACAGCACATGGTTAAACTATGGCATTCACTTGCATGAGATGTCATGGTGGCAACCCATTTAGAGGGCTTTAAAAGGGCTTTTGACAAATTCACCAAAGCGAATCTGTTCAATGGCTACTAGATCTAAAGGCAACATGCTTGTTCTCGTCTTAGAGGCAATACTCGCATATGGGCAGGAAGGTGCAGTTGCCCTCATGTCCTGTTTGAGGGCTACCCATGGGCAGTCAAGTGGCCCCTGTGCAAACAGAATGCTGCACAGACACTTGGTCCGGTCCAGCACGGCACTTCTTATAATCTGTCCCAGTCCAGGAATGTTTGCAGGGTTGCTGCAGGAAGTGAAACTCTCCATTGTGCTAGTGGTGTGTCCTGTCAGTGTGCCCGAATGATTGCAAAGTGCAGCAGCAGCCCAGTGTGTGCTCTATTGATTTTTTCTGTTCTTGAACTGTTAAACTTTCTCAGCCTGTTTGCATTAAATATTGACTCGTACAATGGCTTCATCTTAAATACATTCATACCTATTTCCACTGTTACAGCTTGGACAATAGCAAGGGATGATGGGAGGGTACTCCAGCATCTTCAGAAGGACAGCCAGTTTCCTGAATCCTGAAATAGGCCCTCATATATCTTGAAATACCGAGCTTCAACACTATCGGTTTAATCAAAACATCCCCTCTACAAGACATACAGTAGTTTATGATTGGCAACACACTTGTGAATGATGAGGGAACAGATAGGATAGAATTTTCCAAAAATTAATGTTTTTTATTATTATTGCATATGGTAGAAATCAGAATAGGAAAGGCAGAACGATGTCAAAGCATCTGCAAAAGAGAAGCCATAAAATAAGTGCGTTATTCACCAGGCTCTCCCAAAATCGACAGGAAACCATTTCGGCGGGTTGTTTACATTGTCAGGACAAGGCACACAACTTCAATCCCTTCCCATGGTGGTCATCCTGAAAACCAATTGCTGCAGGCTAATGCAGTGCTCATGAATGCTCAGAGGAGCGCCTTTGCTAAGTCCGTCTGAGTAGCGTATGGTAAGCTGCACCCTGAGTGGAGACTTGACATCATTTTGTGTCAATTGCTACAGAAAACCCGGAGACAAGCTTCTAATTCCAGTACTGGGTGGTTATCATCCAATGCACCCTTACCAGGGAAAAAGCCCCACCAAGCACCGTGGAGTTTATTATGGGAAAATATACACAGGATTAGCCTGAACATGCAGTTTTTATTACAGGGAAATCTATCTTCCACAAAGGCTTTATTAATCCTTATTTTAATTGCCTTGCAGGATAGCAGTTACTGGATATTGCCTGTCATCTCAGCAGTGAGGAGCAGCACCGTTATCATTCACCCCTCTTAATCTGAGCAGTATCTGCTATATCACTTCAGCACAAGAACCCAAGCATTAAAAATAGACATGAGGCTGGCTGATCTTGCCAACAAGCTTTATCCCAAAAGCTAGGGGAATGCATACTGAAATTGTCAAGAAACTAAGTGTAGATTATTATACATTGGGCATATTGATTTTGGCATCATCTTGTACGACCTTCAGCAACGGTGTCTGTTCCAGCACAGGCATTTTTTTCTTCTCCATGGTTTTTTTGTTTTTGTTTTTTTAGACAGTCTTTATATCAATCACAAATTGCAAAAACCTCTACAGTTTTCAAATACAAAGTGTATTTCAGATACAGAAATGCCTCAGTTATATCAGAGTATTAAAAAGTATGTTGAATCTTTCTCTGTGTGATTAAATATTATTGATGTGTGTTTATGTTAAAAAGGGAGAGTAGTCACCTTTTACTGGGATCCTATTACTGTGCCCTTATGGATCAATGTTTCCATTCTAGACCTTATGAATCAATTAGAACATATGGAACAAATGATAAAAGAATTGAAATGAATATTTCCCCCAGTCTAAGCTGTACAGACGCAAATTTATACCAGGATATATACCAGGGCAGCTTCCTCTCAGAATTCATCCAAGGTGAAGTTAACTTCATAGAAATGAGCTTCAATAGCTTTAACATTCTGAAGGGTTGGGCAAGCTAATTAATATATTGGAAGAATATACTGACAGGGTAAATTTACCGATGAGGCTTCTTTAAGAAATATGCCATTCAATGATTTGATAGTGTCGGAACAAGTCCTGCCTGCTACACTGTGGGTTTGGGAACATTGTTATGTTGCCGGTTTTGGCGCATTATTTTTCTGATCCAATTTATGAATTTGGACACCTTTGTATAAACGCCATATTTGCCATCCTTTGCACACCCTTCTCCCCAGCTGACTATCCCAGAAACAAAGTATGTGCCCTTGTATTCAGTTACGTGGGGACCCCCACTGTCTCCCTGGCAAGCGTCTTGAGCTACAGTGTTATAGCCAGCACAGAACATGTTTTCAGTGATTGGGAAGTTACTCGACAGTTTGCAGGTGAGCCGGTCTACGTAAGGTAGTTTAACCACTTTAAGAGTGGGGGATACACGGCCTCCTTCAACGATGCGCCCAAAACCGCTAACAATAGCATGGTTTTGCTTCATGAGGACATGATTAGCAAAGTCCGCAGTGGGAAGGCAAGCAGGGATCACATTTTCAGTAAACTGGATAGGCTCTCTTAATTTTATCAGGGCTATATCAAAGTCATAGGTTTCCGGTACAAATTTGTGATGTACGTATACTTTATCCACAGAGTGAAGTGTTCCCGATTTTCTCATTGCAGTGTTCACTTCCCCTGTGTAAGAGCAATAAAGAGTTATTGTTACTGTGTGGTAGATATATGCTGGCTAATACATTGCCCTTCGTTTCATTTATGGTTCTCTTTTTTTCTTTTAAGAAAAGCGAGCTGGACATGGGCTTTGCATCCTGCTTAGTATGCTGAAATCAAACTATATTTTTCTTGTTTGCACATAATAGGACATAATAGGAAACTAAGAGAGAAGCAATGAAGCTAGGAGCTCATGCCCCACATTCACCCGTCTCCACACCAAGAATGAAAACGGAGGCTGGAAACTCTACTGGTGCCAGTTTGGAAAAAGAGTGGTTGGGTGGGCAGGCTGAAAGCTCTCCGCGTTTGCAGAGATCCTGGTCTCAGCTGGGCAGCCAGGTATCTGCACTGGGAAGCAGCACTGTATCAGTGGCATGCTATGTGTTTGACAGCATCTACTTTAATCCCCTCCCCTCTCCCCAAAATGTTACATTTCTGCCTGTAGCACAAGAAGATGGCAACTCTAAAAGTATGTTCAGAGCTGTATGTCTGATTAGATTTCTGCAATGCGCTCTACGTGGGGCTACCCTTGAAGACGGTCCGGATACTTCAATTGGTGCAAAACAGAGCTGCCAGGCTGCTGACGGGGACTGGGCGTTGTTCTCATATAACCCCAGTTCTCCGTCAGCTCCACTGGCTCCCGATTGAAGTCCGGGCCCAATTCAAGGTGTTGGTTATGACCTATAAAGCCCTCAACGGCTTGGGTCCTGGGTATCTAAAGGAACACTTGCGTCCATATATGCCCTCCCACCCCTTGAGATCAGCAACAGATGCCCTTTTCCGGGAACCCTCTGTGAATATTAGGAGGGTGAGTACCCGGAGGAGGGCCTTCTCTGCGGTGACACCCCATCTATGGAATGTGCTCCCCAGAGAGGGCCGCCTGGCGCCGTCATTATTTGTTTTTTGGCGCCAGGCGAAGACCTTTTTATTTAAAACTTATTTTAAGTGTTAATTTATTGGTTATTTGTAGGATTTTAAAATTTTTAAAGCCGAGATGCACCAGGTTTTAATGTTTTTATTGTATAATTTTGTTCCTGTTGTGAGCCACCCCGAGGGTTTGTTGCGATAGGGGCGGCATAAAAATGTTTTAAATAAATAAATAAATACTTGTCTATTTGGAAAATGAACTTAATTTTTGGAAAAAGAAATTGCATGTTTAATTGCATTGCCAAACTACACACAACTGTACGAGAGTTGTTGTAATGCACTTGTGGAAATCCCCAGTGCTGGCTGGGACTATGTGTGTACTTTCCCCACTAAAATTGCTCCACCAAAGCTAGTATTTGGACCATAAAGTTTCCCCAGTATTTCCAGGGTAAAGAAAGCGAATGGTATAAACAATTCCCAATTTCTTCTGTGTAAGAAAACTACACATGTTGTTAAATATTTTGAGCATAAATGATACAGAAATGAAAATACTGACCTACAAGAACTTTAATTGTTGTCTGATTTATGCAATGAGCTGCTGTCAGCACATATATTTGGCTCAAAATTGTTCCTCCACAAAAACCATCTCCATTATCATTTAAAAGAAGTGCCTGAAAAGAGAAGTATTCATTCAAATTGGTTTGTATGTTAACATTTCCCTGAAAGACACATTTTACCATAGTATTGATTAGTATTATTTTTCTGGCCATTAAAATCTACCAACAAGCAGGTATGTAATGTTTTCTGTGTAGAGGTTATAAGAGTGAGGGACCAATTCAAACCAATTTTCATTGTCGAACAAACAGCCACCAAGCCAGTTCCCTTACCTGCCACGGACATTCACCCAATTTGCAGTCTGTTCCATTAACAATTCTGGTTTCACGGTCTGAATCCAAGTCGTCTTCTGCTTGCTTGCTGTGCTGTGTTTTGTTCTGTGACTCAGACTGGATGCTTGCGTTCACTGAATCATGGATATCGTCATAAAAGTAGCTTTCAGGAATGTATTCATACTCAGCAACATTTGCGAGCCTGTCCTCTAGTGATCTTGCTTCTCGCCTTGCCTTTGTCGTTTTCTTTTGTCCACATGGATAATCTTCTGTAAAACCATAATCAGCACTTAAAACTGAGTGACACATCTGGGGCAACTTGAGGCCAAAATAAATAAATAAATAAAACTTTTCCACATTACACAGGCATGGCTGAAGTATTTCTTTTCTTACTGAATACACTTTGTTTTCAGGAAGATAGATGGGTTCTCTTCCAAAAGAAGATAAAGTGAGTTGAGGCTCAGCAATCAGCTTTTTTTACAAAGTGAGTTCTTCCAAAATAAGCCACCAAGAAGTAAAAAACCCCGCAGAAATAAAGGAGTAGATATTTTCATCAATTAAAAAGAGGATATATCTCTGTATCTGTCTATCCCTTTGTATTGTTTTTCACTAAGAGAATCAGTAAGGAATGTTTTGAAGCAGGGAAAATGTGGGCTTGGGAATCAAGTAGAAATCAGTAAAAGAGGTGTGTGTGTGCATGCGTGCATCACTTATATTTACCGAGGATGCAATCCTATGGCCTCCCGTCATCTTCCTGGAGAACACAGGATTTTCAGATTCCCATCTTTGAGATCCTGTGATCTTGGAGGCAGAACTGCAAAGGTAACTTCCCAACTCCTCCCAGCCAGCATGAAAAGAACTGTGTTGGTTGGTCCTAGCCCCGAGGTTGCATCTGGGTCTTGAGGGGAGAAGGTTGGGGCAAAGGACCAATGCTGGTTCTTATTGGCATCTCAATCTATTTCTCTGCTCTGCCACCCTAGCACTTTATCAGGATACCCAGAACCAGCCATCTGGATAAAATACCCAGCGCAAGGCTAAGGAGTGGTGGACAACGCCCCCGCAGGGTCTTGTTCTGGGCCCAGGATGCACATAAGCCTCTGAGTTCATAGGTCTGTGCCCTGATTGGACTAACCAGGCAAGACTGATATTTACTGGCACTAAACACACTTATTTCAGAGTAAGCTTCACATAACTCAGAGGGACTTAATTGTGCATATCGGAGAACACTGCAAATGCCTGACTATTTGCTTGTTTTAATATAACTTGTAACTTTTTGCAATTAATGAAATGAAGCAACACTATTCAACATCTTGCAAGCAGACTTCCACTTGTGTAACAGGATTTCCTTCCTCTCTTCCCCCTTGCATTCCTGTGCCTTCCCAAATCTGCTTTGCAGAGCAGATTCAAGAGACATAAAAGGGGCTGAAGGGGGCGGGGAAGAAAGAGGGGAAGTTTTTCCATTAGTGATGCCTTGGTTATTGTTGAGTACAACCCTACTACACTTCCTCCTCCCACTCTTACATGAAATAATCAGCCAAAAGGACCTTTGGATCAAAAGGTCAAATCAAGTTCCTTTTCATTTAGAAATTCTCTTTGTTGGATACTTTAATCACACTGGAATGGATGCATCTGAAGAGAAATAAGCAGTGCTACATCCAACAACAGAGCCCAAAATAAAACATGCAAGTTTGGTTAAAAACTACACAGAACATCATGCTTTTCGCTTCAAGCGAACACAAGTTTTACTACCTGTAGAAACACAAGATACTCCATCATGTCCTGGAGTATACCCTTCAGCACAGAGGCATTCAATGATGTTTTCCACAAGTTTGCAAAAGTGTGAACAGCCACCATTGTCCAGCTGGCAGGATTTGTGCATTGCTGTATAAAAGAAAGCACATTGGAGCACTGAGAAGAAACAAACCAGTGTGTACCTGTTGTCTCCTCTACTATTACACCTCTAGCCCTGTCATTGGATAAATGGGACAAGTATTGAAAGGCACTGAGGGTAAAGCCACATTTAGAGACACTGCTTAGCAGCTATGTCTCAATTTTTCTTTTATATTTATACAGTTGGGGCTTTGGTTTTTGTTGCAGTCCAGCTGCGCAGGAATGGGTGGTTTAAGCCTAAGCTTCCCAGGTATAATTTTACTGGTAACAGCTTACCCCACATGGCTCTAGAGCTGCTAAACCAACTTCAGTTGTTCTTCTAAGCCACAGCATGTTCTCTTTCTCTGTGTATTATTGGCAAAACCATGGCTGAGGAGGGAAGGTTCAGACCTGCCCTCTATAAGCAGCCTGCCCTTAAATTTTCCTCACAGCTGATGAAAATGAAGAAACTTGTGCTTGCTCCTGAGCAGAGCCAGCCCACTAAATCCCCTGTGCAGGGGGAAGATTGGGAGGAATGTGGGGTGTGCTTGTCCCTGTGGGCATTGTGTGCAGCAGCCGTGCTCAACCACTGCAGGTTCCTTGGACTGGAAGCCTCCCTTCCGTCAGGTGAGCTCTCTGGACACTGGCTTGGGACACTCTCTGGAACGCTGCTCAGCTCTGTGTGCAGAGTCAGGGTTGGACTCCTTCACTTGGAGGTGCCGCATTTGGGTGCATTCAGGATCTCTCACCTGGGGGGTGGGGGTGGGAAACCCTTGCATCGCTGCTGACCTAGAGGAGTTGGTTGCTAAAGAGAAATGGATTTTCAGTGAATTGCCATTACACAGGCAGAGCTGGCTTCAACCATGCCCCAGAGCTTCTCTGAAACTTTTCTTCAGCTGCTCCTCAAATTACACAAAAGCATCGAAGTGTTTTGCAGCATCTTAAAGGCTTGCAGTTATATACACTAGCTTTACTACAGCTGTAAGCCAACAAGAAGGCCATCCCTGATGATGCTACAGCACCTCTGGCCAAAATGTTTCCATTTTGCCTTCACTCACAGTTATCTGAAGTTTAGGGCAGATGTTCCTTTGTTGATGAGACCATCATTCCTCCATAGTTCGTGAATATATTCATCATGGGTTTAGTATGGTTCCTTGACTCTTGTCTCTACCTGGATCTTCTACCTGAACTTTATTGGTGACATCACCCTCTGGCTCCATTGGCATATGGCCCTTGAGAAATTCCACTAGCATGGCACTTATTTTCACTTCATCACTTCAGAGCCAGTGTGGTCTGGTGGTTAAGAGAACAGGACTGGGACTCCGGTGACCTGTGTTCTAGCCCCTGCTCAGCCATGGAGCCAACTGGCTACTTTGGGCTAGTCAGAGACCCTCAGCCCAAGCAACCTCACAGGGCAGTTGTTGTGGTGATAAGATTGAGAGCAGCACCAGAACAATGTAAGTTGCTTTGAGTTCATTGGAAAAAAGCAGGATAAAAATCTAATAAATAAGTCATTTGCCTGAGCCTAGACCAGTCCATGAAACAGTTCATTGGTTTCCTGTCTTACAACAGGTGTTACTTACCAACCAGAGGAGGGTCCAGTCAGGGTGTTTGTGTATATGTAGGTATTTATTTATATCAACTAGCATTATTTTTATGGTTTGCTATGAAGAGTTATTGTGACGATTTTGAGTGCATTTAAGCTTTAATGCAATTGCTGAACTGTATTCTTCGCCTTTTGACACCACCGTTTCCCGTGCCATATATGCAAGTGTAGACATGCATGTGCATATAAGTGTATCACCCCCTCCCCCTGCTAAGCAAGACTAGCACTTCACTCACCAGATGAAGGAGGCTCTGGTCCACAAATGCTCATGTCATGCATGCTGGTGTTTAAGGTACCACCTCATAATCTTTGCTGTTTTGGCTGCAACAAAAATGTGGCGGCTCTTCCGACAATCAACACGGTGTACCTGACTGCCATTGTGCAAACGATAGATCCAGCAAGGGCTGGCTCAAGGTATTTTGCTGCCTAAGGCAGAGAACAAAATCGTGCCCTTTCCCCCTGCAATACCCCAGTTTGCTGACGGAAAAGGAAGGTCTGAACTCTTGACAGATCAGCAGTGGCGGCTGGCTGCCCGTGACTCACCGCCCAAGTGCCATGGCGCAATCACACTGACATCTCAGCCTGAGTCACTGCTCTTTTATGCAAACTTACAATATTGGCATTGCTCGCCATGATAGCCAAGCTGACACGTGCAGGTATAGGAGCCGATGCCATCTTTGCAAGATCCACCATATAGGCAAGGGTTTGGCTCACACTGGTTCCCATCTAGTATGAAAATAAATAACAATTAGGTTCCATAATTTGAGATGTTAAAAGACTTGTGTGTTAAGGGGGAAAAAACCCACACTGGGTGTGACTGCTTATAATGTGGAGAACTCATTCTGGCATCTGTAAGGAACTTGGCCTAGAACTAAGACTGGAGCTGGTGTCCATATATAGATCTCCAGACACATTAGCAGCTAAAAGTAGACCCAGCCCTACGGACAAACAAGGCTCTGAAACAACGCACGGATAATGCACCCTGTGTAGGCCTTCCCTGCATAAAAAAGTTTAACCTGCTGTTTGACCGAGGTTCTTCCACTTCATTGTAAAAGGAAAAGTGTGTCCTTTACACTGAGCTTCTCCCGCTCTCCCCATCAAATACAATGCAGATGTTTGTATTTCTTTATCTTGCAATACACACACACACACACACACACACACTTATCCAGAGCCAGTGTGGTGTAGTGGTTAAGAGCATGGGACTGGGACTCAGGCGATCTGGGTTGGAGTCCCTGCTCAGCCATGGAACCAACTGGGTGACTCTGGGCCAGGCACAGACTCCCAGCCCAACCTATCTCACAGGGTGGTTGTTGTGGGGACAAGATGGAGGAGGAGAATGATGTAAGCTGCCTTGAGCCCTTTGTAGGAAAAAGGCAGGATATAAATCGAAAATAAATAAGGTGGTGCTGTGAAATAGCTGCAGTATAGCGGATTTGCAACAATACATAAAGCTTTTGTTCCAGTTGGAAATTTAGTAGCTCATCATTCTCACTCAAAACAAAACAAAACAAAACAAAACAAACCACAAAAATGGCTGGAAAACATGGAGGAGGAGGGCACTGCTGTGAAAAGGCCTTGAAAATTTCCATGAGCAAAGGAGTATGTGTGCACCTGGTGTACAAAAGTCTCTTCAGGCTATGCTGTTGATCTTTTTAGTTTTGCTGTTGAGCCACGATATGAAACCTTCTCTCATGTTGCAAACTTGCACATTACATAGAAATAAGTTGGACTGATCATAGTAGTTGTTTCCAAGGGATGGTGTTTGGATTGTATTGTTAAAGAACACAGCCTGTCAGACCTACTATGATGCTTTGGTCATAACCCGTAGCTTCATTGACTCACAGCTGAGTAAAGAGCTGCTATAATCATTTAAGAATAGACAAGTACCTTTGCAAAGGGACACTGAATCTCTCATTGGCTTTGCTCCCCACCTTTCCACCATTGTCTCCCCTGCACCAAAATGAGATTGCAAGGTCCTTGCTGCAATGACCGTGTTCTTTGCTCATGTTGTTTTCTGAAATGCTATGTCAGTTGATGGTGCCACAGAAGTTAATCAGTCAATAAGTAGCATTAATGAGAAATGGAAAACATGAACAAATGAGAACATACACAATTTAGTTTCACTAGGCAGGTTTTCTACTAGGGTGAGAGATTCCAAGATACTAAACATTGAGGCTACAATTCCTGGACCACCAGAACAACTTTAAATTGCTATGAATTTAATTACCTGTATTTTAAAACTTAATGAATCAAAAGTATTTTAAAGAAATGGCAGTATAGATAGAAGGGACCTTAAAGGTCATTGAGTTCAAGTCCTGCTCCATTTCCACATGTGGTCACCCATCCAGCTGCAAACCCACCCCCTTCCAGCTTAGCAAAGCTGATTTGACATGCTAGCTTGATGTAAAGTTATGCAGGAAGACATGTATGCAGGCTTTAGAGAAAGGAGAAATATGTAAATCTCTTACCATAATAAATATTCCAGAACTCATCCTAATGAAAAAAGAAATAACAGTTAAGTGATGCTAATAAATTGTAAATTAAAGCTGAAAAATTGCACACTCCTGACAACAGTTTTAAAAATTAGGATAATATAATCAAAGTACAGCATACTTTTACAGGTCTTCAAAACCCCCTGCTTGCCTCTCAGTTATGTTTTGCTCCAATTTTAACCAAACACCAAGCCCTTCTTTGTCCTAACTTTGCTCCCCCTTCCCTTTCTTCTGGATGTGCAAAAGACCAATTTTATGGGCCTTCATTGGTTTAATTCAATGGCTCAGTGAAAGAGCCATGTTCTATTGGGTCATTGCTGATGCCTGAAACTCCTCATGGTGCTACCCACAGCTCACTAGCGAATACAAATCATCATTACAAGATTCCTTGTGGGTGGAAAGATTCAATATTACAGGAATAACCTTATGAAAGCTTATGGAAATCTGCACAGAGCCACACCTTCTCCATCAGAGTTCCCCAATGTAGTGTCCTCCAGATGTTTTGACTACATCTCACATTTTCTTTGCCCATTGGCAAAGCTGGCTGGTGGTGACATGAACTGTACTCCAAAACATCTGCAGGGCACCAGCTCGGGGGAAGATTGCCCTGTCCTTGTAGTATATTATATTGTTTAAGACTCCAGAACTGATTTGAAAAACAGCACCTGGTCAAGTTCCAACAACATTTTCTTCAGCTATGTATTTGTTCTGTTTCCTATTCAGCTTCAGCAATATTTGGGGGAAAATGACATTTTTGACAATTGTCTATTATGTGGAAAAAGAAAGAAGCTTAGTGCTTGTAGGATACCATATTTCATGACCTGGACAAAGACAAGCTGAGCAATTCTTGTTGCTCTTGGTTTTTCTGTTGCCACTTTAGATGCAACTGAACAACAGGGATGATAAGACACGCTTGCCTGCACAAAAGGACTGTGAAATATTAACATGAATTATCTGGCCCCTTTC